TAGAAATGACGCTGCCCAGCAGATAAACTTTCGACTTAATTTTGACTTCCAAACAGATCGTTGTTATTACCATAATATCGATAATCACTGTCTAATGTTGTATTAATTGAAAGTTGATTTTTAATGTACATTGGAAGATTTCCTGCCAGGAGTGATTCCAAAGACAGCAAACCGGGAGTGTTGCATATGGAAAATCATTGAGCAGCAGTTATACTGAAGCAACAAATTCAGAGTTTTACTTTGAAAATCTGCAATTACGGAAACACCAAATTGCTTGAAATAATATCAATGAAACAAGTGCTTGAAGGGTTCTGCATGAACATGGTTACCACGACCAAAAACTTCTGGGTTTTAGAAAAAACTGCAGACAACGACAACTTTTTAATAAAGTTTGGTTTTCTGACGAATGCACCAATAATTGATGACAAATTTAGGTGCAATTTCCATTATCACTCAGATTCCAACCCGCATCAATTTAGAACCATCCAAAATCAGCCCAAGTGGTCAGTAAATGCGTGGAACGATATAATGAAAAATTATTTAATTGGCCCTTAACTTTTCCAACGACATTTAAGGAAGAAGTTTTTCAGATTTTTTAATGAATCAGCTTTCAATGTTATTCGGAGATATTCATTTAGACATTAGAGCGCCCATGCGGTTTCAAATGAGGGGAGCGGAAGCACTTTTTCATGGCAAAGTACATTTTTAAATCTTTATTTTTAACAGGAAGAACTCGATTGGAAGAAGCGCTTGTTGAAGCTGGCCTCCGCGAGCAAAGATCTGAATCCTTGATATGGAACCTTTATAATACAATGTTCAAAGTTTAATGTAATTAGGCAAGTTATTGCCGAACAAATTGTTCAATTGTTTGAACTCAATTTTGCGACTCCTGGCATGTCTTGCATGCCCAATTGTTATCCATTTATCACACAACACACAACTGCGTCTATTGGTACCGCCAAGCAGAATTTGAATTAGAAATTCAAAATGAGAGCAAGGGTCTTTATTTTTACAAAACTGCAAATATCTCTGAAACCTTAAGTATTAAGTAAGATAAACCTTAATAGAACTCACATGTATTTCGATCCTAAACACTAATAGCATAATAATATACAGAATATTCCATTCGAAAAATGCAACTTTGGGTTGAATCTAGTGAGCCACTGTACATTAGGAAAGTATTTTGTATGTACCTCGGGTGGTCTTCAATTTATCCAATGAATGTTTTAAAATGAATTAGTTCAGTTGCAATATTCCGTGTCGGGAAATAAAGGAAAATATTTTAGAAATCAGCGAGTAGGGAAAATGAAAAAACCGAGGAAAAACCCGAAATGTTGACAAATTTTGCAGTTTGGGTATTCTGCAGCTCAGAGTTATGTGGACAAATAAATATGAAACTCCTTAGTAGATTATGCAAAAAAATACTGTAACTCAAAAAGCGGCAAACGCAAGTAATAGAACCAGAAGGTAAATTCAACATTCAGCCAGTGACCACATTAAGATCATCTAAATCATCTGAGTGCCGGCTTAAAAACTGTGTTATCAGATGACGATTTTGAACCCAACTAAACCCCTACTAGTCAAGCCTGCCTGGTCCTCGTTGACTTCATTACAATATTGACTATACTCGACGAATAAAGAAAGGCTGTAATTTATTTATTGTTTCGCATTGCCTCTGTGTCATTTTGACCTTTAGGGCTTCGCAGGATTGCCGACCTAGAAGAACCGCGGCTGTGCGGTCAGTGTGCAAGTGGCCAAAGAAGTTCACTGGGCTAAGGGTGACTAACCGAGGTTTCTGACCGGCAATAGCTGAAGACCTGCAGATGAGGAAAATCAACAGTTTTTGCTAAACACTGACAAATCTTCGGGTTTGAGCTAAGCAGTGGAATTTTTATCGAGTTCCAACAGGAAATTTTGATTGAATCTCCTTCTTTGCGTAGATCGACGAGCGAACTAGCATTATCAAACAAGCTTTATCCAACAGACAACTTAAACATTCCCAATCAAGTTTTATAATGAACTAGCAGAATCTTTGAATATATTCTCATTAACTGACTACCTTCAGCTTTTCAGTTCCCCACATCAACCGATCAGTTTTCAATCGAGCATCTCTAAAAATGTTATTGCTGAAACAGAATCATTGAATCAGCTACTCAATTTCAGCAAATATTTGTCGAAGAAACGGTCTACAAAGTGTGTCACATACGTGGCTGCATTTTGCACGTGGATGCCCCACTAACTTCTAGGTATTTAAACAAAATGCATGTAGGTGAATATCCTCTTAACATGTTGAGTGCAGCACAAACGTAGGTTTCGTGCAGATGTTTGAATAATAAATTTTCTGGCTAGAGTAACTTATCGAAGAACATTCACGCTAGTTGGCGATTTGGTGAAAGTTTCGAATTGTTCACAGTGGGTAATAGGATATCGAGTGAAAGACTAGAACGAAATAGGGAGCAAACTTTTGGTTTGCTTGCAGGTCGCTTTTCCAGAACGAACTTTCTAAGTTCTGTATTTGAACAAATAGTTCACTCCTTTATTACAAACGCGGCCTGGGCTTTACTTCAAAGCTCAAGTCAGTTTAAAAGTTCTCAAGTTTGTAAATTTGTAATGTGTTTCCAAAATTCTCTTAGCAATAAAATCGGAAAATCAATGGAGATTTGGCGCTTGTGGTATCAAATAAAGAGGACTGTAGTTCATTAGCGCGGTCACTTGCAACAATGTGAAGTTTTTCGACAATTCTATATATAATTTAAAACATAAAGGCTAGATTAGCAATTTGCCTCCACATGGGCTGAAAAAAGAAAAGCAACCTTTTGCACTAAAAATTGCAAATAGCGTGAACTATATTAAAGCGAGAGAGAAAGATTAGAGAAAACATTGCTTTACTGGTGCCCTGTGATGCCTTATCCGCTTTTTGCGAAAGTTGATTCAAACCCATTAAAAAAGCAAAATATAGCCCCTTTAGTGCGGCAATATGTCACGTTTAACGTAAATGTTTAGTGATTTTTTAATACAATTCATCACCAGTGTATTACTAAAATTTCAGTTTATATCATATTCAGAAAGCTGAAAGCTTCAAACACGTGCTGTTGGCAAACAGAGTAAAGACAAACACAATTAACAATCCATTTAAAGCAAATTTTAAAGGATCAGGACCATTGAGTGTCTAAAGCAAATAAAATATGGAAAGATGTAATCCCTTAATTGGCCCTAATCAAACCAACATTAGGACTTTGACGAGTTTACGAAATCAACCGCAATTAAAAACATATTTGAAGATTTAAATTGCTTCCGTTACCTATTACCTTTCATTGTATATACTTTTCTTACTGTGTTTCAATTCCAAATCAAAATTAATTCCTGGGTTTCAGTCATTTATTGTCTTTATTTATCAATTAAAATACGTTTCGGTGTATTTTTCCACCATCATCAGTTTTTACTGATTACTGATTACACCAAAAAGTGATGATGGTGGAAAAATACACCGAAACGTATTTTAATCGATAAATAAAGACAATAAATGACTGAAACCCAGGAATTAATTTTGATTTGTTACCTATTACCAAAAAAGTTGAATTTGGAATGTTTTAAACATTGACTAGACTGGTAAAAGACCAGAATGGAGTTAAAATTTGACTAGATAAAAGAAGTTTTTAAAACCTACCAAATTAGCTAATGACCAAGTCTGGTTTAAAGCCAATAAATTCGGCTATAGGAAGATGTAATCTTCTATGGCCGAATTGCCTTACTGTCTAAAGCTGCTAAAAGAATTTGCTAAGCTCTAGATGTCGTTGACCTACAGTCAATTTGAAATTTTTGGTTGCTAGCTAGTCGCGAAAGCTAAACAATGCGGAAAGATTCCAGTTCATACAGAATCGCTCACTGAATTCACAGTTTTGCGGAAACTTTAATTGTTTCGCTTACATATTAAGTACTACTTATCGTCCAATTAATTGTATGGGAAAATTCGGAGTTGCAGATCCAAAATATTATTATTCTAAAAAAAGGTCAACGTATCGTTAAGTTAAATAAACAGCAGTTGATGTTTTTAAGCATAGAGAATGTTCAGCAAGTTTCATTGTTTTCTATGTTTTCCCACTTTCTTCAAACAATGATAATAGTTTCAATTTGTTTGCGGAGTGGCCTAAGAGACTAATTAATAAAACATTATCGTCTCAGTACAGATAAGAAAGTTAATTGCTCAGGAATTAGGTAGGTACTTAGGTACCTACTAATGAAATTACTGTGAAGCAGAAAATGATACTATCAAATCATAATTGTTAATTAAAATACCTTCAATTTAGGGTTTTGATAGACACATTGATAAAATTACTCTTATTTGACAATAAAGGACGAATTATTTATCGAAAACAAATTTGAACACTTAGGCTCAAGCTCTAATAAAGAAATTAATCTAAATTAATTTAAAAAGGTACTTTAAAATATTAATCACAAAAGGTACCTTAAAAATGTGGAACGCTTCACAATCTTGCGGAAATAAAGCATTTGTTCTTTATTGTCAAATTTTCAAAACTCTATTTCAATCTGTAAAATTAGACAAGTTTCAATTTTTCCGAAGACTTGCCACTAATAAAACTTCGGTTTTCTTGGGTCCTCAAAACCTCAAAATTTTCTCACGTCTTCTATTACAGAATGATAAAAATTGCTGTTACTTTGCAATAAAGCACCAATTCAATTATTTGTTTTTTATAAAAAAATAAATTTGAAGATACTCTTAGGATCAATCTCTAAGAGTAAAATTCGCATTAATAAAGAAATTACTTTAGAAAAGTTACCTTAAAAATGTGGAACGCTTCACGATCTTGCGGAAATAAAGCATTTGTTCTTTATTGTGAAGTTTGAGCACTCTGTTTCAATCTGTAAAATTGAGCAAGTTTCCATTTTTCCGAAAACTTGCCACTAATAAAACTTCGGTTTTCTTGGGTCCTCAAAACCTCAAGATTTTCTCACGACTTCTGTTACAGAATGATAAAAAATGCTGTTACTTTACAATAAAGCACCAATCCAATTATTTATTTTTTATAAAAAAAATAAATTTGAAGATACTCTTAATATCAAGCTCTAAGAGTAAAATTCGCATTAATAAAGAAATTACTTTAGAAAAGTTACCTTAAAAATGTGGAACGCTTCACAATATTGCGGAAATAAAGCGTTTGTTCTTTATCGTAAAATTTGAGCACTCTGATTCAATCTGTAAAATTGGACAAGTTCCAATTTTTCCGAAAACTTGCCACTAATAAATCTGCGGTTTTCTTGGGTCCTCAAAATCTCAAAATTTTCTCACGTCTTCTATTACAGAATGATRAAAATTGYTGTTGCTTTGCAATAAAGCTCCAATCCAATTATTTATTTCTTATAAAAAAACAAACTTGAATTGAGCAAGCTCTATTGCATCAAGCTCTAAGAGTAAAATTCCCATTAATAAAGAAATTAATTTAGAAAAGTTGCCTTAAAAATGTGGAACGCTTCACGATCTTGCGGAAATAAAGAATCTGTTCTGTATTATTTGGGGCAAAATACCTAAGAAAAAAATTTTTAAAACATGAATCCGGCTCAACCATATAGAACATCGAACTTGTCTAAACTAAGTAAGTAGGTATGCAAATAGTTCCATTATGTTCATTAGAAGCTTATTTTGACTTTTCTGCTGAATATATTTTCACTCTTGTCCCGAACAATTTTTCAATGTAAAAAAATTTATATTATTTTGAATGAATTAGTAAGCCATATGGAAGGTGCAACTTAAACTCGATTTTAACAAACTGTTGTAAATAGAAAGACACTCTCATTGGCCGAAAGAGGATTATCACGTTGCAAATAAAAATACTGAAAAATCTGACTAGAGCCCGAAGAAAGTGAATAAAAAGCAAGGAAAATTGCAGAAACATTCTCTGGCAGAGGTCGTCACTCTCTGGTAAACTATTGCCAAAAATCTCCGTGATGGTACCGGAGGCGCTCAAGTTCAGTGACAGGACGTACTATCAGTGGGTCATCAATGGACGGCGCGCGTCATGACGCTCCGCCCCACCATAAAACCGAACTCGTATTTAAAGACCCCGGTACCAGTTTCTTAAGTTATTCCGGTTCATACTGTCGTAAGTTCGCCGTCTCTTCTACTACGCTCCAGTTGTCTTACACGATCGAAATAAATTCACTTATAATTTTTTTTTAAATATTTTTTACCATGGCTGGTCTTGATCCTACTGGCAACTACTAGTGCCCTTTTTTATTAGTGCAAATTTTCTTCATATTTGATTGTGAACGGTACTTTTCAATTAATACAAAATGGCCATTGGAAAACTCGACCCTACTGGACAGTACTAACCGGTTAAAGTGAAAACGACGAAAACTAACAGTGATAGTGAAAAACATTCTTATTCCTTCAATTTAATTTTTCGCAATGGCAGGCGGACTCGACCCCACTGGCCAATATTAGCAGACATCAACAATCCAGCGTTCCAGTGATTTTTAAGGTAAGAGGAAATTCTTCAATAACTTTATAGTTTGTAATTTCTTTTCCTATCAAAGATTCTAATCCTTCCTTTCTCACCTTTATAGTTTTCAAATCAGCTACAATGGAAAGAAAAGGATTAGATCCAACTGGCCAATACTAAGAGCTAGAGAATTTTACCAAAACCCAGTCTCATTAACAAACTAGAAATTTTGTTTTAAAATGCACGGAAAAATCTTAGATCCGACGGGTGAATATTAGACCGCATAAAACAGTAAACTTGAAACTCTAACAAAATGGAAAGAAAAGGACTTGACCCTACCGGCCAATATTAAGCAGCATTGCAGCCCTTGTGTTTATTTTAACTTAATAATGGAGCAGAAAGGTCTGGACCCCACTGGCCAATATTAGGCAAATTATAAAAATTGCACTGCCTTCCACGCACTACAAACAATGGAAGGAAAAAAGCTGGACCCCACAGGCAATTACTAAGAGCATCCAAATCGTTTCCTAGTCGAAATCATTTACAAGATGCCTTCGTCCAAACGCCTGCAAATTGTAAGCAGAAAGCAAACCCACCCAAAAATAGACAGAATCGACCATACTTTCTACAGACTAAAAGATTGGGGTCATTCCGGACTCGTGTGGAAGTAGTTTGGGTTAGTTTTTATATATACGACAATTATTCAAGCCAAGTTGTTGTAAATTTACCAAACAACTCAGCTTTCTTCTGTCTTAAAACAAACTGTTCCTTCTGGAACTCCAGCAATTCAGCCCATCGACAACAAAAACTTCCGTCCAGTGATTATTCAAATTAATCTGCAAGAACAGTCAGAATAAGTGATGATACAAGTGTTTTTTACTCTGAACTGTCCAGTGATTTATCACGAGCTTGCAAGCTCTCGAAGCTCCAAGTTCCACTGCATTTTCCTGATGTGGTGCCACCGCGACAAGGGAGACGGAGGTCCCCCAGAAACATCCAGCAGCAGACGAAATAGATACTGGTGAGTAATTTTTGAATTTTGTTGAAAGTTTTGTTATGTAGCTAACAATCGTAAATTATAAAGAGGTTGCAATTTTGGATGCTAAAATTCATACATTTGAGTTTCTCACTTGCGGTTTAATATTTCGTTCCCTGAAAGGAAGCAGCTGTTTAGTCAGTTTCCGTTTTTAGACACATCAATTTGAACACCGCTTTTCCCTATTACAAAATTCAATTAATTTCTCGAATGTCTTATTGAAATTTCCAACTTCCGCATAAGGAAACTGAGGTTCACTGACATCGGCCATAAGTTAAGATTTTGTAACTAGCGCCCACTTTATTTGCCTTTGACGCCTCCGCAATATTCATTGCCTTCGAATATTTAAATTTTCCGTCGGTCTTGATCATAGTTTTAATTATACAAAATGCCTTTAATCCTCCACATCGCACAAGGAAACTGCGAAGTGCAAGCTCAGCAGGGCACACGTATCATGGGCAAAACCATATGATTTGCCGATTAGTCAATTATACGTTTTTCTAAACGCCACAATTAGCATGTATTACCTCAATAAACAATGATATTTATCCAATTCTTCGTGTGTGCAAGAATTAAATAATACCACCAATGCTGCATGAAATGTTGTTGACCTTGCTATCGCGTGAATTACAAAAATAGCAGAAACCTTGATCTTAAAATATTTCTTCAGCTCCAAAGACCTGTTTTCATTCTAATTTCTACTTTTCGAAATGATTCGGTTTGTTTTCTGCTCTTCGCCTCTGCGGGTTTTTCAGCATATGTCAAAACTTCACCCTAAATGGCTCATAAGATCATATCATTCATCCATATAGCAATTTTCAGAATTCTTACTAATGTGGATCGTTACCTACTTAATGAAATTGGTGTCGATGTTAAGTTCACGCTAAATATGTACACCGATATTTATCCTTCGTATCAAGAGAATATAAGAACATAATTAATATTGACGGAGATTGCAAATTCCATATTCAATAGCTGGTTGTTCCACTTTAGGATTTTTGCAATCCGAAAACCCCGCCCAGTTTGCTGTTCAAATGTTGATCAATCGAAATGAAGCGATTTGCATATTTACTGTAGATGCTCTTATTCGGAACGTTCAAAAAAATGTTTTTGCAATCGCAGCTGCCCGTGAACAAATTAATTCCCATGCTTTATGCGCAAGAAACAATCAACTTTGATGAGAATCTTTGCATTTTTGTTAATTCTAGACGTTATTTGTCCCAAATGAGCCACTAAACACAAAAAATTGTACCATATGATTCTGCCGAAGCCAAGAACCGGCAAACAGTCAACCAACTAGTGCCATTGGAATCTATTATTAATGACCTACTTATCGTGTAATTTAAATGAAAACCTTAGCCACCAGCACCGCCTTTATGCTGAGGATCATGCCAATTAAAATATCACGAAATCTATTTAGTAAAATAGAGCAAATATCTCGCATACAGCTAAGGTCGTTTCCTTGAAACCTATACCAATTACCTGTGTACGCTTCTGTTTTTACTTTGTATCGATGTTCTTTCCGATCACCAACTGATAATCGCACACTAATATTGGGTTAGCATCCGAGCTACAAAAGGAAAAGGGGCTTAACCAATTCCGATCATAATCATGGATTTTATCGTTTTGCTCATGAAAAATTGTTATTGACTGAGTTATGACTTCTTTTCATAATTAATTCTTGGCAGCAATTGAAGTAATTTTTCTTTAAATTAACTAAGTATATTACGCATAAAACTTCTTACAATGTTCTGGACAGTCTTGTTCAAATCATCAAGAAATCAAAAAGAGCTTCAAGCTTGTGCTGATTTCAAACTGTGCAACTTTCAACTACCCAATTAATTGTTCTATTTTGCCTCGATCCTCGTGCATAAAGCTAATCATAAAATAGGCGATTTAATGTTGATGATGCATGTTAAGAATCGATTTAATTTTTCCCTCTAATCTTCGACAATATTCTAAACGACTTGGACAGAGATAGGTTTGCATCTCATAAAACCGCTGCGATAAAATTGCAGTATGCAATTCGTTTAAACCGCTTATAGATCGTGTGGTTATTTGTTAGCCGGCGATATGAAGATATTCACTAATTGTTCATCATCATTTTAAACATTTCTGAAATAGTGCTCCAACAGTGAGTCAATCGCTGGCAATAAATTAATTTTTAATGTCTGATAGCCATTTACGGATAATAAAAAAAGTCGTCTAATAAGTGGAAGAATGTCGCGCTGTGCATAATCGATATCCTATTAAATGCTACTTGTATTTCGAGTGAACATTTGAACAAAGTCCAGATAGAAAAAGTCACAAATCCACCTACAAACAAACAAGTATGCCAAGTTGATCTGATACAAATTCTTGATCTAGAACTTGCCAATTGTCCGTCTGGGTTTAACTGGTTAATTATTTTGCTTTCTGGAATCCAGGCTTGTTTTCTGATGGATTTAATTCAGCTCAAAAGAGCTTCGTTAAAAGGTTTTAATTACTTTTAGCAGCTAACAACATTCATCCTCATTATCAATAATTAATAGCCCATATTTGAATGGTTGTTATTGCTTCTCAATTTCGTCTTCTTTTATTGCCCTTTTATTTATCAACCTTCAGAATGAATTGGTTAATGTAGCTGGACGCCACGTGGATAATAATTATTAACATTTACATTAAATCTCTACCTTGTTGGAGGTTCTAAAGAATTTCTAAAGCCAGAAGAAGAGAAAAATCGGGCGACAATTTTCAAGAGTCAATTTCTCTCGGAAGTTTTGGGTTAGTTTTAACTGGATTCATGCATTTGCCGCATTTTCCAGCGTTTGACGACACAGAATCGCTTTCGTGATAGAAATCTTCTCATTCCTGACTATCTAAACAACTTTGGCCGAACCTGAACATATTAAATTGTTTTCACTTTCGTTTTCATTAAGATTCATTGAACTTTTGGACGTTTAAATTATGCCTTTAACCACAGCAAAAATTAGCACCACAGAGCTTATTATCCGAAATGATCATTTATGGATCAAAATTATGCAGTTCACATATTTACCAAAATAATCGTCCCAAGTGGAGTCGCCGTCATACTAGAGAGCAATGACATCGTCAGTTCAGTGGCTTTACCGGCGAATACCAGATGAAGATGGCAGGCGTGAAAAATTTTAATTTGATAAAAAAACTAGTCTAGCTCTAGTAAGACTTTGGTTCACGTATCTTCCCATGAATCTGATAAAAACCATTTTACTTCGGTTGGCTTTGTTACACAAAATTTAGTCGAGAGAATAATTAGTTGGTTTGAGACAATAGCTGAAATTGCAATGAGTAAAGATGACAAACTAAGAAGACTTTTTAAACAGTTTCTCATTGCATAGCTTCCAAGGACGTCTTGGGTTGTAAATTTCCCTTGATATAAAGTGTTAATGAAGACATCAGATTACAGTTCAGCCCATCGAAGCAAAGAGCTATTAACTAGCGCTCCAATGAGGCAAATTAAAGTGTCAAAATTCAATTGATGTTCCCAAAGAAATGCTATCTCCGTCTGGCCTATAATGAAAAAGGCGTTGTTAGGAGACATCGAGGTAACATTTCTTATCTAAATACATTAATCGGATGTTGCTTTCAACGCTTTTCTGAGGATTTGCCAAGGACAGCCAGAAGAGGTCTTAACTTTCGCCCCTCAAATTAAATGAAAACAAATGCTTCTTTACAAGGTGAATGCAAAAGTGATTTTCTCGGTGAAAATCCAAGCAAAATCACTAAAGCCTATTACCATCAACCAATAAATCTCCATCAGGCGATGTAGCTTGAATATCAATTCCTCCCAACGACTGGCGACTTCTCTAATGCAGTCCAGTGATTTAAATTTTAAAGTCGCACCTAAGATTTTACCATTTTTTTCTAATTCCTGTTTACTTTTTTTTTGACAATGCGCCCCAACCACGCAAGTTTGTTGCTCTTCAGGAACCATTGACCTCAAACACACGGTGTGTGGCGCTCATGTACCCAGGCAGTTAAGATCATCTTCTTTTTTCGGCTATTTTTGGGCTGATTAAATGAGTGAACCTGATGTAATTTGTACGAGATGCGAAACAGCAACTCGAATTTGCAATCCCCATCGTCTGAAAGAAATTACATTAATTAACTTGCTCATAATTGTAATTAGCACATTGGCGATTCTTCTCAAAGTTCATTGGATAGTCATTACAGCACGTTTGCTTTCTGGTTTCATTGCAAAATCTACTTTTTTTCTCTTCAATTATGGAATACATTTTCATCTGCAAAGCAGATCAATTTAAAGTAAGACCTGACTGGGTGTTTAAGCAAAACAGTGGCTTATTTAATAGATTTTTGACATACATGTGTATTATCCAAATCAAAGATTTACACTTTAAGAATATACGAAAAAAGTAAAATTTCTTTTTAAATTACTCGATTCAGATCATGGGCTTTAATGCAAATTAATGACAGCTGCCTGCATCCGGCAATTTTTCATTAAAAACACCCAAATTTGCCGTTGATGATTAAAAACACCGCAACTGATACACTTATTTTTTCCGCAATAAAAAATAAATAACAAACAAGACATTTAGGCTGTAAAAAAACTATTTATTTCAAGGTTCAATGTTACTTATATATCGACACTTTTTCACCACAATAAAAAATTAATCTAAAAATAAAGTTTGAAAAATTGTAACCCAGAACTTCGCAGCTAGTTATTTCTTTCAAGGTTTAATGTTACGTTTTTGACATTTTCTTGGGGGCTTATGAGCCAGTAAATAGTCAAAAGTTCGAATTTTTATTAGTTGCGTCCTTGCCATATTACACTTCGCCACGGTTTGTACGTCAGTGATTTTTAAAGCTCGAAAAATGCGGTATTTCCAAATATAATTGCAAACGTTTCGATTTAATTTTCGTGTTCTGAAAACTAGTTGGATAAATGTGCTGATTTATTTATAATTTAACAATTCATCCATGGGACAGCAAGCGGTATTTGAAAATTTTAGTCTTAGAAATTCTGAATTGAAACATTATTAGACTTTGAAGTATTGAAATTTTAATACTTTGTTCCCTTTGAAATTTTTAGCTTCAAATGGTTACCAATCTGTGGTTTTGTGTAAAGCTGTCCGGTAATTGCTCTACTAAACGCACTGTAATTAATACTTCCGTCCCATTTGGGTAAATCGAGTTCCGCAGTTTTTTAGTGAAATCAAATTAAATTCTACATTTCGCGTCTCGTTTCCACAGAATTATTTTATGCAGGAAATAACTTTGTCTGTCAGACAACTTTTAAACAGGAACAATTGTTTTTCTATAATGTTAAAAGCAATCTTCTGATTACTCGGCTGTGACCGCTTGTGATTTGAGATTCTGATTTTATCTCTTATTAATTTGCTATGCGTTTTAATTCTGATCGACTTCCGCATTGTTTCATTGAATTTGTTGCGCGCTCTGTTCTGCCCGTCTTATCAAAACTTCTATGCGGTCATGCAAGGATTTGCAATTTGCAATTCGACCACCAAATTGCGGCATGCACTTAAAAAAATTCTTCAGCTATTCGAAATTCTATCAATCTCCTCGAGCTAAGAGCGTCTATTACTCAGAGGTTCAAATATGTCGAGTTTTTGTGGATCTCTATGTATTACATATGTATTACATTAAGCAATTGGTTCAAATTAGTTCTTCGTGCGTGCTGGCTGCATTGTTTCCAACATTGCAAGCGCGAAAAAAGGCAAAAAGCAGACAGTGAGACTCTCGTGAGTAGATGTATAGATTTCCTTATTGCTTTTTATCAAGGTTACCGTTCTAAAGCCAAAGGCTATACGGCAGCCAGCCGATGACGTCGCTACCACAACCTATTCACTTGGGTATAAAAATAAATGCATGATTGACGGGCAAATGCAAACTTGAATATTTTTAGAACGAAATTCAATTACCTGCCGGACACTTAACATTGCATTGGCTAAAGCATGTAACGAGCACTTGGCTGATAGTTCAGCTGAGTAGCTTTCCAATTCAAAAATGATTCAGCAAACTGAATTCATTCAGCAAACTGAAGCAAACGTACCATTTTTCCTTAAAGGGTTCGAAAATGTCGCTAGTTTGTCGTCCTTTCTGTTAACTTGGCGTCCTTGTTTCTGGGCGGGGCTTCGGTGCCTCAATCTTATAAGGGGGCATATCCACTAAACCTTTATTGGAGCAATCGACAAAGATAGCTCGATATAGTATAATGGGTTATGTAAAATGGGTATAAAAATCCGTCTGAAGTTTGATTAAGCCCTGGGAGAACATGGACGATAATTGATGATTAAATCAAATTGTGCAGTGTTTCAATTGGTCACTTGAAAGTCTTCCATCAATCAACGTTTTTCAGTTGCTTGGGACTCGCACATCTTCCACCACCCTCACCCGAAAGTAACCCTTAGGCGCAATTAACTTTCAAGTTACTGAAGACGTTTAATTAACAGTGTGCATGTTTCCGAAGTAGCAATTTCTGATTTTTCACTTAAGAAGCAGCCGCGAAAGCCAAACATTTACATTTTCATACCTCCAAGAAATGTTTACTAAACTTAATTGAATTTGAAGATTGCGCATTTCATTAGGCTCATATTGCATCTAGAACACATAGCTGGGGGTAATTATTGATCGAGCAGCATCAACGATCGTTTATTATGTGCTGTAATTACGCTACTGGTTCTATTAACTTGCTGCTCTGATTTTATTTATATTCAGGCATTTTTTCCACACTTATCTATAAGGATAAAATATTCCTCTTTGATAGAAAATAGACCACGGCAACTGAACTATAATTCATTTGAAGCCACTGAACCTAATTAGGTGCCGCATACTTCGTGCTCTTACAACACAATCCACAATTTTGCAATTTCATTCTGCACAGTTCCAGCGGCATTTACATAGTACATAGAGTTTGTTTTCGGACATAGATGGATGGTAACCATAACATTGACCTTGCCTTCGGAGGAATTTAAAAACGATTTTTAGAAAGGTGAATTAAAATCGGAAGTTTCAGTTCACTCATTTACAAATTTCCAAGTTAAATAAATTCTGTAAATCATATCAAAAATCGCGTATTAGAAAAAAAAACGGTTAAACAGACAAAAAAATGTGCTATTGTTGGTTCCAGAATAGGCCTTGCAAACCAATTTTCCAATACAGCTTAAAAGGCAAATTTGAACAATTGCCACCACAACCAACCACAACCCACTCTATTTCAGAATAGGAACTCCGTTCATGATCAATTTGGCTCCGGTCTTTCACTTAAGAAAAAAGACAATAAATCCTCCTACTGTGCAACCTACCTAAGTATACTGATAAATATATCAGGTCTTTTTCGTGTTCCCTTTCAGAAACCATGTTTAACAGCGTTAGCCCCACAGTGCAAAAATCGAAAATGAAAGTTTCGGTGCGAGTTTGAATGGGAGATCAGAACACATGACAGCACATCAATAAATCGGCCTTGTAAAATTTCAAACAGTTTGGAATGTAAGAAGGTCAGAACTGCAAGCGGCCTATTAAGAATACCCAAACACTATTACCATAACAATGTAAATGGATTGAAATCGTTTATATGGGCTTTCACTTTCGTGGCACCGCACAAGTGCAAACAGTTACAGGTTCTTCCCATTATAATGAGCGGGGTTTTATGTTCTACCACAAATCGCTATACAATTTCATGAAATGTATGTAATGGTAATGGTTCATGAATTCATCAAGCGTTTTTAATTGTAGATCAATTTGCTTCTTCCCTGTTACATTACTAAACAGTTGATGGAACAACAGACCTGTTGGATTTTATAGTTCTAGAGTTACACAATAAAAGAGCACATGCACGTCGGGATTATGTCGCTAAAACAAACTATTGGATAATAGCGATGTAAAATGCATTCTTTAATGTCGACTAGTGGCATTTAAAATGTATAAAATCAAAGGTCAGATGTGTAGAGTAGCTGTTAAAGATCAGCTGAGTCTGACGTGACTTCATCAGTGTTAATGTGGAGAATGCTGCAGGAAGGTCGTTCATTATGACATATCAGGCCTTCCTGGACTACCTGTAAGCCGTATTGCATTGCAATTGTGAATAAACAGAAACCCGTTAGAACCAGGGCGTCCCTATTAAAGCACTAATTGTGTTGCAGTAAACAAAAAACGCGAAAATTATTTCAATTAATTTCCGAGAATTAACCTTCGCTATTTAAAAACAATCTTTCGGAGGATTTTGTTTTCAAAATTTGATAAAAATTACCATAAGCCGTTAAATCGAACAGTTAAAGCGATCAATAGATAGCCGTTATTTTATCAAGGGCATTTCCATTGAAGATTGCCACCGGAATGTTTCAGTTACACTGTTGCAAGGTTACAAATGTTGTGGATCTATTGGAAAAAACAATTCCAGCTCAATACTTTGAAGCCTCCAAAGCTGATAATCCCAAGAACACAAAATCAAAACGCGTTTCTTTAGGCTAAATTTTTACGATTTTCTAGTCAATCATTTCACACATTTCCAATGTAACAACTAGATAATTTCTCAGATGATTCATGTCTACCTACTATCGCTGCTTTCAATAGTAAATAAACTAAACGTACTTTTTTATAGCTTCAAGGTTGTCTAAATTTAATTCAATGGATAAATATTGAAAATGCAACACCTTAGCTGCTGATTTCCTGCATCTTCAAGGATAGTTCAGTCGCTTAATTAGTATTAAAAAAATAGATCTAAATTTTCAAAGGCCAACTGCTCAATGTAACTTTTTGAGTCGCATTAGTGGACATCAAAGCTTGCGCTAAGCAACTAAGTATTAATATTTAAAATTTTGCGATTAAACTTATGCGTTGATGTTGTTGCACTTATGTTGATGTACTGTTTTAAGATTAGTCGGAAAATTTAATTAAAGTCCCTATGCGCTGGATAATAGTGGTTGCAACCTCAGCAATATCGTGTTAATACTCGCTACTGATAGAAGAATGCCGCATTATCATATAGGAATGCCAATGCAAAGCCATTCTGTTAATACGTATACTAATTTATTTTTTCTTCTATTGCAGATAGAATGGATCTAAATACAATGTAACTACACTGCCACACGAGTTACCCAACCTATCCGGATGTTTAAAGACTGATGTTTTGTTGATTTTAGTATTTTTAAGTTTGTTTTTATTAAATTATATAACTAGTTTAAGTCTATTACACTTAAAGATTGTATGTAATATTAAAACTGCCTCTGCAAACATCAAAAGGCATTAACATTGTATTATTCTAAAGTTCTGCCGAAAAAATGGCGACAGGTTTTGAAATACGCAGCTTATTCGAGTTCAAAATATTCATTATATAATTGACTATTTAGTAGGTAACTTTGTATATAATAGTTTGTTGAATGTACTGTTTTTTTTTCGTTGACATGTTTTTCTGTTAACATGGACAGGTGCTCTAAAAATTGAAAATTATAAAATTTGGCAAGTATAATACTGTAAAACATGTCAGGCAAAACGATTACGAGTAAATTTGCGAAAAGAAAACATTTATATTTACTAATACAGCAAACTAAATGTTGAAATTTAAAATAGCTACTCCAATGTACGTGCATAAATAAAAAAAAACATATTTAGAGGCCTGTATTGTGACAATTTGCATGTATCACCAACCAAACAATTATTTTGTAATAACCATTTGGCTTGTTTTTCTATCCATACCTTGTACCTACATGTTTACATTTTTTTAAAATAAATTACTATTTTATATCTGTGTTTATTCCTTACATTAAGGAATTAATTCCTTACATTAATTCCCCCAAGTAGAGCGGTTCTAAGAATGGTTTGATTAATTATCGGAAGAGTTACCGAATTCAAACGAATAACAATTTTAATTATACAAAATTCGCGTAATTCTTTAGGGGCTATAGGGGCTCACTTAGAAAGTACAAAAAAAATGGAAAAGAATTGAAGATCGAATTTCAACTTTTTGCAAAGCATTATTTTAAAAAGGTCCCATGTTTGAGATTGGTTGCCTAATGGAATACTTCATCATTCAAAAAGATAACTTTTTTTTAAATTCGCTTCAATTTACAAAAATTTTTGATATTAAAAAAGTACTCTTCTACAATTTTTTGTGATCAAGTCAAAGGGGCAATGATTTTTGTCATTAACAAATAGTTACAGGTAGATAGCCTTTGTCAATAACAACAAGCATTTGGCTAACTGTGACTTGCTTTGAAGCTTTTTTCACAAAATGTTCCTACACCAACAGCGAATTCGCTAATCTGCGATTAGTTTTGGGGAAATTCCACAGTAACATAGCATAAGCTGTAAGAACTTACATCAGCAAAAGCCTAGAGACACTAGACGAGTGGCTCCAGAAATTCACGCAGATAGTGGACAATCTAAAGGTGCTCGTGTTCCAGGCCTAGAGGAACAGATATTGAAGATACTGAACTTGAAGCATTGCACAACAATTGCACTCTCTCAAACACCGGATATTTAATTGTCCCCATAACTCCCCCGAAGAAGGGCCTACATTCCTACCACGTATGTAAGATACACAGGACTTAATTAATTAAATCACACATTTATCTCTATCTTCCGAACACCGGTACAAATTGAGCAGCAGTTAATTAACCGAACACGAGAAGTTGCTCAAAATGTGAACGAGCTCAATATGTGAGTCCGTTTAATTAGTTAGTAATTAGGAGTTAAACGGGCAGAACTTCGAACACTTATGATTTAACAACTTAATTGTATTTTATTTGAGCACTGATACATCATAACCTTTAACAGGTGGTTTTGGATGCCATGGATTTAGGTATATCACTTATTGCCCCAAAAAGGTGGCAGCACTGACGGCAAGGTGGCACTTATCCTAATTTCAAATGAGTTTCAATTTGACTAACTTTCAAACTAGTGAGTTTTTGGGCCGTCATAAAATGTAATTCCTTCCTGATGCTTTCTTTTCTTTGATGCTGTAAAAATGCTTTTTACGACGGCCTAAAAACCCATCGTTTCAAGGAAAGCTTCGAAAGTGTGTTTTTTTATTGACTTTTGTAAAAATGGATTTAAACAAATTTGATTACATTTCCAACAAGCGGAATGTTTTGATTAAACAACAAAAACTCTTTAACTGATAAGACGCTGAAAATATTCACCGCCAATTTCAGTAACCCAAGTTAGATTCAAAACTACTCAATATTTGGATGCATCTGAGGATTTCGTCGCAGTTCTTCCAGAATTTCCTGCTCACTTGAGTAGATCTTGTTTTGAAAATGGCTATATTTTGCTTTTTGCTTAGTAAAAAAATATGTTATTCCCCAGAAGTCACATTAAGCATTTTTCGAACATTAATTTCGAAATACACAAAAACCTCGGCTTCGTCTTTGACGCGCCCTGCCTAGGAAATTATAGAGCAAGTTAGTTTGTTAGAACCATTTTCCCTGATAACTTTCGTTGTTTGATGGTGGATAGAAACATTAATGATTCTTGCACAGATTTACTTCGTCGTTCGACAAACATTAACAGATTAATAAATAATATCCATATCAATTTTAATAAAATGAAAAATAAAAAATATATGAAGCTTAATACAATATTTGAGTAAAACCACTAGTCCCAAGAACCAATAACGATCATTCACTGAGTCAGCTTCTAATTCATTCAAGTGGCTTGTATTCAAACAATATCTCGCATAGATAGATTAAATAATATGTTAGAGATGCTGTTGCTTCAAGAAGGTAAAAAAGGCCAATGGCCTGCCGATTAAAGGAGTATATGTATGTTTAACCACTAAAGTCAAATCAGATATAACTTCTTGCCTAATTTGGCATGCGATACGCCTTTCAGGTTTTTTATTCAAATTGGTTTTAGTTGAGCTCAAGAAGTTAAAGGAAGGTGACATTCTCTTACGTAACATATAAAGAAGAACTGATGTTTGTTTAGCTAATAACGATTTAGGAAACGTTCAGGTTTTATGGGGGAACAATTAAAATAAAAACGAAAGGAATATTTGATTGAGTGTAAACATTTACATAATCAGCTAGAGTCTATTTGCAGAGAAATTTGCTACTTTTCTAAAAATAAAGCAAATTTCTACTAACTTCGAACAACGAACAAGCAGGGCTTTATTCCTCGTTCGATTCTCTTGAAACGCTTCATTAACAATTACAAGTCGAAAAAGAATTGCAAATTAAACGATAAGACAAGAATGCGCATCGTATTAATCTCTTAATTATATTAAACAGGATCGTTCTTGTACTGAAGCATTTCTGCGCAAACTAAAAATGATGGATAGGCTTCAGCTTAACAGTATGCTTATTAATGTGCATTCAAATTCAAGTCTCTTTTAAAACGATGCATTTAATTGGTACAAACTCGTTCACCAGCTAGTCAAGATATTGAAAGCATATCGTTTATTTTTGCCTTTGAGAAGCAATATTTTATTTTTGCGGCCTTTTAAGTCGAGTGCATTTTAAAAGTGAAAACATTCGCGTCTCGGATATTTAATAAGGGGCATCAGAGGTATGAAGCAGCACGATTTCTTCTCATTATTTATTCATTACAGCATCGAACTAATTACAAGGTCTAGGACTAGATTTACTCACTCTGTAACTCATCTAGCATCTGCCTCATGAAAAGGAAAGTAGCAATAAAGATTAAATCGAGTTCGGTCTTTTTAACCTACCGTATCACGAGATGATGTGCAGCAAACATAATTGAGCTATAACCTGACTTAACTTTTCCTGCGTTGGATAGATTGATTGTCTACTTTCACTTTGTTTGTTTTTTAGTAAATTTCAACGCAAATAGATGCAATTGACTAAGTTTGGCGCATGGAACGCTACATGATCTGGTTCAGAATCAAGTCTTGAGTATTCCGCAATAATTCATTGTATTATCTACAATTCAGAAATAGAGGAAAAAAATCCTATCCTGTACACTAGCCGTAATTGATTGGTGTCCTTCGCCACAAACAGAACTAGAGTAAAATGGCTCAGAAGCTCTAAAATCATATCCCTGTTCACACGAGGGATCTTTCCAAAACTCAGCCAATTTCTCTCTAATCAGCGACAAAACCTCTCCAGCAAAAGTCCTCATAATTACGCAATTTATGGTGCATTACAAGCTTACGTAGGTGTTTATACCTATTTCTAGTACAGCTAATGACATTGAAACTAGGCTGGAAAAAAGTCATTGCTGTTATCTTATTCTGCATAACTGCAAACGCAAATGCTGTAATCGTTAAGTAACACTGTTTTGCGTTACGTAATGGCGAATTAAAACATTAACGTTGTTCTTGGTTGTTGTTATCCGGTTAGGGAGAATACGAGGTGCTGTTAAATGCAAACCGAAGTAATTACTAGCTGAAGTCGATGTAACAAGTTGAAATCAGCCGGTGTGCTACGCATTTTTACACAACGAATTCGCCGGACCTAAACGGTGAATGCAAAAGGGGTTTCAGTATTTTGCTGGTGGATTTTTGCCAGGTTTACGCAAATTGTTTTTGTAGGTCAATCCCCGATAGCACGCAAGTATTACAGTAATATTTTTTTGCAATATTTAATGTAGGTCTGACGCGACAGATTCCTATATATTTAAGAAATATTTATTTGAGATTTAAATTAGATATTTAAGAAATATGTTTTTAAAATATTTATTTGACTGTATTGATTGAGATATTTGCTTTATTTTTTTTACATTAATGTAACATTTTTATTTATAGATTTTTTTGTTTTTTTTAATGTCTACCACCCCTTTTTTTAATTTTTTTAATATTGCAATTTTTGTCAGCTCCATATTTTTGATCTGCATGTGCACGGCTCGAGACTCAAACTCAGACCTTCATGTTGCCAGCCCGTAGGTCCGACCCCTCTTCCACCATGCCGACTAACTTTGATTTATTTTCCTGACTGTGTAATTATTATTATAGTTTTCCTTCCTGGGTTTCAGTCAAAATGTGAAATTATCAATGTTCATATCGTCTATTTCAAGTAACATTTGGGCAAGGCAACAGCGCCATCATCGGATTAAAATTCAAAACAAACCCATAATTGGGAAACATTTGATTCTTTATACGCTTAGCTGTTTTCAAAATTTCATATTTGTTTGAATTACTCTAATTCAGTTAAGTTATACCGTTATATGAAAATTACGATATTTTTACTTATTTTCGACTAATTTTGTTAGTCTGGTTCAATAAACACCATATTTTCGGCATTTAATAAGGGTCCCAGGTCATTTAATAAATATCAACAATATTAATGCACGCATGTGAAGATCTCGGCCATTGTCCCATGCATAGGTATGATACGATACTGAGAAAGTATCGATACTTACTCATATGAGTAGTAACCAAATCATCTTCCGATACTACTCATATCAGTATTCCGATAGTATCGAAACCATTGCCTGCCCACAATTTTATTGACCGACTCGATATTGAGCGACTCTACATGTCATCGTCATAAACACATTTTTTAGTAGATATACATTTTTGATGAGTTTCTCAAGACCGAAATTCGTTGAAAGAACGATTCAATTACCAAAGTCCTCGGTATCGCAATCAAAAGTATCGAATACCCACTTGTATTGCCACTTGTATCGAATCATCCCTACCCATGCATCCGTTTATACAATGGTACGATGGTACGAAAGGGTTTCTATTGGTTGGAGATGTCAGTTCGTACGACGACGGACCATCTTTAGCCTCATCGTGCAATAAATCACATACCCAAGTGGTGCAGTGAACGAAAGATACC